AAAAAAAAAAAAAAAAACCTAACAGGGATATGTTCTGAGAAACGCATCCTTAGGTGATTTCATGATTGTGTGAGCATTTTAAAGTGTCCTTACACAAACCTAGATGATATAGCCTCCTGCACACTGAGGCTATATGGTATAGCCTGTTGCTTCAAACATACCTCTCTGGTATGTTACTATTATCTTCAATACTTTAGGCAACTGCAACACAATGGTATTATGTATCTAACTATAGAAAATACACAGAAAAACATAGTGCAAAGATTTTTAAATGGTACACCTGTATAGATCCCTTACCACAAATAGAGCTTATAGGATTAGAAGTTGCGCTGGGTAAATCAGTGAGTGGTGAGTGAATGGGAAAGCCCAGGACATTCGAGTATGCTTAGGATACAGCAAATTCATTTTAAAAAATTTTTACTTTATAAACTTTTTTAAAATGTTTAACTTTTTGACTCTTGTACTAAATGTTTTGTATCCTTATTCTATAAGATTTCTTACAGAATTTCTACGTAGAATTCTATAAAATGTTCACACAATCATGAAATCACCTAAGGATGCATTTCTCAGAACTTATCCCTGTTTGTTAATCGACACATGACTGTAGTAACTTGCGTAAAATCCTTATACATGTGGAAGGCAACGTATAAAATTCTAAATTAATTTTAGGATGGTTGGATTGTGGTTTTTTAAAAAAGAAAAGCTTTTGAACTTTCTTGTTAGAGTCGATCATCTTTTCAGAATAAAAAAAGACTAGAATTTCGATATAGAATTCTATGTCCTTTCTTTATATCCTTATTCTATAAGCTTTTTTCTATTTTTAAGTTTTTATTTTTACCTTTTAAACGTTTGGTTAAAAACTAATACACAAACACATACACTAGCCTAGACCTACACAGTGTCAGGATCATCAAGATTTCACTAGGAGACAGGAGTTTTTCAGCTTCATTATAATCTTATGGAACCACCGTAGAATACTCAGTCAGCCTTGATATAAATGCCGTTATGTGTCACATGACTATATCACTAGGAACATACTGCTTTTTATTCTCAGCTGTCTGCAAATAAGCAACTTTGCTGTTGTGGCTGCAGGAAAGTAGGCGAATGTTTCTCTACTATTTTATGCAAGCTAGTTGTCTATGTCTAACAGTCAACCAATATTTATCAATAAAATGTGGTCAAACCTTTAGGAGTTCGCCATCCAGCAAGAGAGACAGCCATTGTCACGCACTGTCGTTCTTCCACTGCCAACTGCTTCACCTTTTCCTTCAATCTGTTCCAAGCAGTGAGGACAGACAAGCCCTTCTGAGCCAGCCAAGAGACATACGCCTCTGCAAATTCCAGCAATCCCTTCCTTCCTGAACCTCAGACAGTTAACTGTAAGGACTTCAAGGTTCTCGCCAAACCCCACAGCTGCCTGAAAATATTTTTTTTTCTGATATCAGAAATTTGACCAGTAATCTTACCACAAGTCCTAGTTCAGTGGAGAATTGAATAAATATGATTAACATGCACAACACAGATCCCTATGGTGAAAACTCAAATCACAGCACGTGAGTCACTACTCTCAACACTGCCATGCACCTTTCTTAAGCCTGCCAACCCTACCCAGAGGATTTTTTCCCCAGATCTGAACTCCCAACTATTTTTACTTTCCCCCAACAGCATCTGCCCTACAGTGTATCATAATTGCATGTAAATCTGCCTTCCCAGTAAGAGCAGGGACTGTATCTCTCCATTGCATGACCAGGCCTGGCACAGTAGCAGGCAAAGTAAGTTACTACATAAATCACGATCATCATCCAAAGAATAGCTGCCATTTCTAGAGCACCTACTCTGTGCTCAATACTTTATCTCCACTATCCTGGAGGCTTCCCAGACCAGACCACCCAATTCAAAGGAGCCTCCAGTTGCCCTCTAGCATAGAACCTTATTTTAGTTCTGTCTATAGGCTTTACTAATTTCTAACGTATTCTTGTTTAATTGTGTGCTTACTCTCATTTTGTCTTTCCTCCCTCGGATGAAAGCTCCAGAACAGGCATCTGTTACCTCATGCTTGGCACTTAGGAAATCAATCAATCTAAACCTCCTACCTCCCCCTCCCCAGGTGACAAAGTTGACTTGCACACAGGAAGTGTAAATAAGTGTGTTCCAAATTTTATATTTGCAATTCAGGATAGCTGTGTTGCATATTTCGTGGTTCATAACAAAAGAGGGGTAGGGAGCATAATAGAAATTAAAGTTTGGTTACATTACCCTAGCACTGACACTGCTACGGGAATTTTTGCTGCAATAAAAAAGCCACTTCCTCTGACATAAGGTCACCCACACTGCTGACTGGTCTTGCCACATCCTTACCATGGCTAGGCTGGCTAGGGCAGTCAGGTCTCCAGACACTCACACTAAAAGAGAGGTGGCTATCCTGGATAGCCCAATCCTCGCTGAGGAGTGCCCAGGGTAAATTACTGCCTGAACTATTATCACGCTCAGGAGGGTTTGAGCGTGTGACGCAGATCGCATCCTGGCAAAGCCTTTTTCCACCTTGGGGGCCACCGGGCCATTCCCACTCTGGGGCTCTCCTTAACGGTGTTCCGCTTCCTTTCACCCCTAAAGGCCACACGCCCTGCAGGGTCAAAACTTGCTCACCCCCAATCCTCCAGGGGGCGATGTTATCGAGCTCCGTGTTACAAGTGGAGAGACGCTTTAGTGCTGGAGAATCCCACCAGGTCCGAGGCCTGCTCGCGCCCCGCCCCGCCCCCGGATATGCCCCGCCCCTCGCTCCCGCGGGCGCCGGCCGTGGCCCCGCCCCTCGCGCCTTCACTTATTCCTCTGCGCGCGGAGACCCGCGCCTCCGCCGCCAGAACCAGCCGGCTGCTTGGTGTCGCGGCTGCGCCTGTTCGTCCTATCGCGTCACCGCTGCCGCCATGCCCGGGGGTCTACTTCTCGGGGACAAGGCTCCAAATTTCGAGGCCGAAACCACCATCGGCCGCATTCGTTTCTACGACTTTCTAGGAAGCTCGTAAGTGGCCACCGCGCAGCCCTGCCCTGGCTTTGGTTACGCCCGGACTCGGCGGCGCCTTCCCTATTTCTTCTCCCAGCCGCCCAGCCTCCTGAGCGCCGCCCGCCTCCTCTAGCACTGGTCCCCGCGCGTGCCTCTCACCGTGCGGCTCTGGCCCCGCATCGACCGAGCGCTGCTGGGGGCCGGCAGCTCTTAGGCCCTCTCTGTGCGGGTCTCTCAATCCTTTCTCATCTCCCTGCCTCCGGCGTGGCCGTGCTGGCTTGGGGACCAGAGAGGAACAAAATGGGGTTCCACAGGCCCTGGGAACTCAAGGCCGTACCTAGAAGGGTTCGTTGTCTATTTAACTCGGCGTCCTAAACTGTGCAAGTAGCGTGGTCAGGCCAAGGGGACGCGGGGAGGGTGGCATTTACGGTCACTTCTCAGGACTTGTGCCCGTGGTCGCACCCCCCTCCCTCCCTCTGCTCTGGAATTTGCTCCCTGGGGCAGAGGACTGTGTAAGAGCCAAAGTCAGAGGACACAGCTGCCGGCTGCAGGTTAGAGGAGGCCCAGCCTGTTATCTGAGGGTGTTGCTAGCTGCAGGGGTATTTGCAAGCTTCTGGTTACAAGATGTAAAATTTTAAACCACTAGCTGCCAATTAAGTGGCCAAAACACTTTCTGTCCACAGCTTCCTTCATTGGCCAAGATAGGATTTGATAACAGCTTTGGGAGGAACAGGAACATTGTGTGTAGGTGTGTTCTTTATTCCAGAATTTGTAACACTTTGAGGAAGGACTGAGCTGTTCAGCTTCAGTGACCTATTCTGGCCAGTGTAGGCCGTTCCAGGCTGCAGGAGGAGCAGCCTTAGTAACTCTGAGACCCCTTGTTTTCCAGTGCTGTGCCCCTCACTGTCACCTCCCCCTTGCTGGTGGTAGCCAAATTGATAATCCATGATCTGGCCTCACAATCGTACACAACTAGGAGTAAATTGATGCCCCCTTTTTTTTTTTTTAACAGCTCCTGAATCAGCATACTGTAAGTTACTCAGTTTTCCTCAGCAACATTCCAGGCACATCTAGTTACATTATGGTTCTGGAGTTCCAGGATCCACACTACACTTTTGTGCTCTTAGACTTGATAATTCCTGACAGCTCCTCCTTGATTTGTATACAATATATAGAGATATGTATATATAGACAGAGAGAGAAGCTTATGAAATTAATCAGTAATTGGACAGGGCTGTGCAGAGATCCTAGGAGGTTCTTAAACATGAGGGTCTGTTCCCTTACAACTCCTTAAGTCCATTTTCCAGCCACTGATGAGGGAAAAGTTTTAAGCTTTAGGAAAGAAAGGAATATGGTGGGGGAAAAGTGAGAAATGGAACATTCAGACAATACAACTCATAGCCAGTCTCATACTAAGAATGTAGGAATATTAATATTTCTCCAAAACTCCATGGGATTTTCAGAGTGTATTACCTCGCATTTCTATGTCCCTCACCCTTATGAAACATAACATCTTACCAGAACTCTTAGCCTATGTGGATTAAATATTAACATAAAGTGTATTTTCTATGGCAGCAATTATAAATGCTGTCGTTATTTACACTACTATACTTTTTATTGTTAAGGTTTATTGGCTTCTGGATCTATCTAGATTTGATTAAAAGTACATCCTCAGGGAGCCACAGGTAGGAAGATAAGAAAAATATCTGGGCCAGGCCCAGGGGCTCATACCTGTAATCCTAGCACTCTGAGAGACCGAGGCAGGTGGATTGTTTGAGCTCATGTGTTCAAGACCATCCTGAGCAAGAGTGAGACCCCATCTCTAAAAAAAAAAAATGCCTGGGCATTGTAGCAGGTACCCGTAGTCCCAGCTACTCAGGAAAGCAAGAGGATGGCTTGAGCCCAAGAGTTTGAGGTTGATGTGAGCTATGATACTATGGCATTCTACCAAGGGTGACAAATAAAACTCTATCTCAGACAAACAAAAAAAAAACTACATTCGTAAAACAAGTTTCCCTATGGTTAGGCATGATATTCCCGGCCCTACGCACAGGAGAATTTTGAGCCCTTTATATCATTATAATACATAGATTTGTGCCTACTTTTTCCAAACTTTATGTGGTGTCAGTTTTTTATCCTGGTTTTTTTTGAAGAAAAAAATAAAATAATTTCAAACATTACTGTTATCTACACTACTCCTAACAATTGGAAACAACTAAAGGGGTTTGGGTGCTGCATTTGGTGGGTTTGTTGGGGCTTTTCATCATTCTGTGTGTAGTAGAAACAGCTTTGTCATAGTACTTTATCCCTAAACAAAATATGTTTTGCAGGGGTTTTCTGGGACTTAGTAAGTACAGACTATTCTCTTAAAGGAAGAAACCTTTTGTTTTCTGAAAATGAGAAAGGAAGGAAATAAGAGAAGAATTGAATTACTCTTAGGAACGGCAGTAGGAAGACTTAGATGGGAAGGAAGGCCAAAGTAAGATATTCTTGGAGTTTATCTTCTTTCTAGCCATGTGATAAACTGGAGTTTGGCTTCTGAGGGAGGGAAGGATGTGAAGTGGCTTAAAACCAGTTCCTTAGCATGATTCAGCAAAACAGGTGCTATTGGCTTGCAATGGAAAAAAGAACTAACTTTTCTAATTCATAAACCCATTAACAATAAAGAAGAAATGTCCTATCCCATGTCTTCTCATCTTCAGAAGACTGTCTCCTAAATCTCCTCTGACAAATAGTTCCTTTTGCAGGTAATATAAGGGCTGGATTTTACTCAATGTTATTTTGTTCAAAAGAGAAATCATATATCTCTCTTATTGCCCCGTACAAAATGGTAAACATAGTGCACACCTCCATGATCTTAAAAATTGTGTTTCTTCCCAGTCTTACCATGAGGCCCTCTGTCCCTTTCATAAGAAGATCTTTTTCCTGAAGCCTTGGTAATTGAGTGGCAGAAGGAGGTGGGAAAGAAGTACCCTTGTCTTTGCTTTGTTTTTGTGCTCAGGGTAATTTGCCAGACTTAGGAGAGGTCAGTTTCGTATCCAGCCTAGATTTAGTTACCCGCTAGTTAAGATCCTGTCTACATCATCTAGTTTACCATGGCTTAAGTCAATGGGAAAGTGGAACACTGTTAAATTTTCTTTTTCAGTTGACAGAAGAGTTTCTGTCACCAAGGAGAAGGAAATAGTGCGCCAGATTTCTTGGTGACTCAGCTTGAAACATGCTCAAAATCTCTGCAAGTTTAACCTTACACAATGATGATTTAATATTTTCCTAAGAACTTGTAGTTGTAGAAATCTACATTGTAGGTTATTGGTTTTCTACCTGTTTGGTCTGAAGCATGAAGAAAAATAAATTAGAAATGAAGAGAGATTAAACTATTAAGGTGCTATTGTTTTGTTAGGGAACAAATGTCAGTTCTCTTGTTTAGCAGGTTTGATCACCAAAATATAGAAGTTTTATTATGATTTTGTATCTGTTTCCTTCAGAGAAGCCAAGTGTCAGCCTCTAATTTTACATATAAATAGAGGATGAAAACCTGTTTATTTCAGATTATGTAATCTGTTTAGTATTGCACTCAGACATTTGTTTGGAGTCAGGGCACATTGGGACATCCATTGTTGGAGCTGAATGTCAGGGTCCATGCTGTGAGAAAAATGTAAAAAAGTTTAAGAAGAAATAAAAAGTTCTTTCAACTTGGTTTGAGAGCATAGATTTTATTAGCTAAAAAGGAGTCAGGGTGGCTCCATAGTTATTAAAGGAGGCAACACCCTAAAATTAGTCTTTAAACATTTACCATCTTTAATTTCCCATCTTTGAATGGGACTGCAAGCATAGGCTTTTCTTTCTTCTTTTTTTTTTTTTGACATAGGCTTTTCTGAAGGTAAAAAGATTGAAAAGCATTCCTCAATAGAAAAGTTTAAGAGTAAATGTCATTATTTAAGTATTCACTTTAAAAAGAAAGCCTATTTTTGGCCCAGAAATTGTGGTTTTCCTCTCTACATTGATAATGACTTCATTCAGTGGTGACCTCCTTTTTCTTCCTTTCAGATGGGGCATTCTCTTCTCCCACCCTCGGGACTTTACCCCTGTGTGCACCACGGAGCTTGGCAGAGCTGCAAAGCTGGCACCAGAATTTGCAAAGAAGAACGTTAAGTTGATTGCCCTGTCAATAGACAGTGTTGAGGACCATCGTGCCTGGAGCCGGGTATAGTAGTACCACTGGGCATGTGCTTTGAGCCTGAGGTTATAGATCAAGTTCAAAATGATAGACAGTAGCTTGGGGATTGGCGGATATTTTGGGGTTTTTTGTTTTTTATTTTTTTTTGAGACAGGGTCTCAAGCTGTCACCCTGGATAGAGTACCATGGCGTCACAGCTCACAGCAACCTCCAACTCTTGGGCTTAAGTGATTCTCTTGCCTCAGCCTCCCAAGTAGCTGGAAATACAGGTGCCCACCATGACACCCAGCTGTTTTTTTGTTGGCAGTTGTCATTGTTGTTTTAGCTGGCCCAGGCTGGGTTCAGACCCTCCAGCCTAGGTATATGTGGCCATTGCCCTGCCTACTGAGCTATGGGCACCACTGACAGTAGCTTCGTCTTCAAGATAAAAGTACAAGTAAGGGGCAGCGCCTGTGGCACTGTGGGTAGAGCTCTGGCCCCATATACCGAGGGTGGCAGATTCAAACCTGACCCCGGCCAAACTGCAACAAAAAAATAGCCAGGCATTCTGGCAGGCGCCTATAGTCCCAGCTACTTGGGAGGCTGAGGCAAGAGAATTGCCTAAGCCCAGGAGTTGGAGGTTACTGTGAGCTGTGACACCATGGCACTCTACCGAGGGTGATAAAGTAAGCCTCTGTCTCTTAAAAGAAAAGTACAAGTAATGTTCAGAGTTCACTGATTATTTGAAAATTTGAGTTGGACTACATTGTGAAAAGTGGTCAATATTCAGGCTTCATCTTGGCCTAACAACATTCAACTCATCTGTTGACTCCAGCTCCTGAAACATTTTCCTTTGTTGGCTGCTTCCAGGACACCACGTTCTAGCTATTTCTGCTCATGCTTAAACTGATGTTTGTTCATCATCTCCCAACTCCTAATCTACACTGAAGTTGCCTTGGATTCTTTTCTCGGACCTCTTTTCTGTATACACTCTTTCCCTTGGTGACTTCATCCACTCACATCTTTCATCTATATGCCTTGATTCTCAAATTTCCATCTCTAAGCTAGACCCTCCCGGCTTCCAGGTCATTAAAACCACAGCGTCTTCCCTGAGAGAGCCAGCTATCTCAAGCCTAGCCCATCTAACACTAGGCCCCATTCTTAAATCTAGGGTTTTACTCATCTCAGCTAATGGTAACTACATTTTTGTAGTTGCTCAGGCCCAAAATCCAGGAGCCATTCTTAATTCCTTTCGTTTGTTCACATAACACATCTGATTCATCCTTAATCTTGTCAACTCTACCTTCAGAATATAGAAAAAGAAAAAGGTCACTCCTCAGGTCTTCCAGGTCTTAACTTAGATGGCATCTCACTAAAACCTTTCTGTCCTCTTTATCTAAAATTATAACTCCTTTCCCCACTCACCATCCCCTTTTGCCTGGCACTTGTCACCATCTAAAATACTCTGCATGTTGCTTATTTTGTTTGTTTTTCTCCAGTCGAGTGTGGGCTCAGCAGGAGTGGAGACTCCCATTGGTGTGCTTCTAGAACAATACTTAGTCCCTCTTAGGCAGCTAGGCAGTATTTGTCTCATGAATAAATTGAAGGAATTGTCTACTTTCAGCAAAAGGATTTACTTGAACAATAAATTTGATGGTCTAACTAACCTTGAAAACTTGTTGAGGACTTTCCTACAAAGTAACAATGATAACTGCCTTCTCAGGGACACTACTATGCCCTAGACACTATGTCAAACACATGCAACTGAAAAATAGATGTGAGTCTGGGCAGCGCCTGTGGCTCAAAGGAGTAAGGCACCATCCCCATATGTTAGAGGTGGTGGGTTCAAACCTAGCCCTGGCAAAAAAAAAAAAAAGATGTGAGTCTATGAGGTAGGGCTGCATCCCATGGGCATTTAATACCAGTTAATTCTCAGTGTCTAAGACTAGAAAAGTCATGTGTAAGAGAAAAAGAAAGGGCAATTGTCTTTCTTGAGGTAGTTTTTCTTTTTCATTGCTTACACTTGTCAATGAATAGTAACTGACACTTCTCATAGGCAATTTCTCATTAGATTTTAGCAGAGCCCTGCAGGTAGCCCTTTAAAGTATATGGTTTTTTTTCTTTCATTTTTCATTTTCTCATTTTTGCACACAAGAATAATTTTTTCACTCAGAGTTAGAGGGACTTGCTCAAGTTTACTCAGCTAGAAAATAGTGGCAATGTGATTTGAACTTCAAACCAATGTTCTTTTTGATACTAGGTGATAGAGAATAGGATTTAGCCCGATTTAAGATAAAAGCCAGACATATGGCTCTTTAGCTTTCTTGGGTATAAAGTAATGTCTGCCATGCAAGAGACAGGGTAGAGAATTACTGCATAGCAATAATTAAAACAACAGATTGCTGAAGGAACAGTTTATAGCCCGTTATATAATACCTTTTCCAGTACAGATACCTGGACTCATTTTACCTGGTGAGCTTCTGCCTTAGAAGTTTTCTCTGAATTGTCATCACATTAAACAGGAAATATTTCCCAATTATCAGAGCAATGCCCAAACTTTCACATTCACCTATTTATACCGGAAACCTCAAGTATAAAATCATACTGATTATTCTTTAGTTTTGATCTCTTGATAGGCAGCCAGTGACAAAAGAAGAAAAGTTAAGATAGTAAAATTAAGGAACATGTTAGAATTTGTTGTCATCCTTTTCAGACTTCATTAAGGACACTTTTATCTTGTCACACCTCTGTGGAGAAACCCACAGAGGTTTTCTGTCTGCTGTGCCATCAAGCTCCAGTTTTACTTTCAAGACCCCACATGATAATTACACCAACCTTATTCCAACTCTATTTTTATTTAGAGACAAGGTCTTGCTGTGTCGCCTCAGCTAGAGAATAGTGATGCTATCATAGTTCACCACAACCTTGGACCCGTGGGCCCAACCAACTCTCCCACCTCAGCCTCCCACATAGCTGGGACTGCAGGTGCATACTACTCTACCTGGCTGATTTTTTTTTTTTTTAATTTACATGATCCTGCTGTGTTACCTAGGCTGGTCTCAGTCTCCTAGCCTCAAGTGATTGTCCCATCTCAGCCTGGGATGATGCTGGCATTACATGCGTGACCTTCCATGGCTAGCCTGTTATTTCAGCTTTAAATCTTCTTTTCTGTTACTTCTTAAACTCTGCGCAGCTCTGTTCTTCACTCCTATCAATATTATGCGTAGACTTTGCCTACATGTATCATTAATAATGTTCTTCCTCCCTAGGGTGCCTGCCTTTTCCCTGGAAAAGTCTTACTCCTCCTACAGCGGCAGAGGTAGACACCCTACCCTCTTCTTGAAGCATTTCCTAACTCAGCATTCCTGCACTGAGACTATACTTATATGTTAGCACTTACCACAGTTCTTAGCCCACCTTAAGTGCTATATCAATGCTAGATCAAATGATGAAACTATTTTTTCCCTAAAAGCTTCCAGTAACAGGAAAAGGAAGTGAACACATGAATAAAATGTTACCAGGCTAAGAGGGAACTACATCATTTACATTAGTTCAGACTTTGTTTTCTATTTGAATTTCACCCTGGTATAAGCTTACCTCTGCCTTTTTACCCATGTACATTTGACTTGTCCTTAAAAGTATATTTTTAACTCTCCATTCTTGTGTGTTTGCTTTAGGTTTTGTGATTTTTTTTTTTTTTCATTTCTCAGGTTCTGAGTTCAGGGTGCTTTTGAGGCAGAAACCAGATCTATAGAATTTTCTTTAAACATAGCATTATTTCTAAATGTGAGGGATTTAGTGAACCCCTTGTTTCTGACACTTTTCACAATGCTTGATACCAGAGATACCTTGCATTGGGATCTAACTGTATTCTTCAACTTTTAAAGAGTTTACTGCTGCTTTCTCAAAGCAATAAAAGCATGCTGAATTTAAGAGAATCAGTCACGAAAAGGACTTTTGGTTATAAACTAGCTACTTTGGACGGCACCTATGGCTCAATAGGGCGCTGGCCCCATGTACCAAGGGTTGGAACCTGCCCCCGGCCAAACTGCAACCAAAAAATAGCCATGCATTGTGGTGGCCACCTGGAGTCCAAGCTACTTAGGAGGCTGAGGCAAGAGAATTGGCTAAGCCCAAGAGCTGGAGGTTGCTGTTAGCTGTGACACTTCAGCACTCTACTGAGGGTGACAAACTGAGACTGTCTCTAAGGAAAAAAAAATTAGCTACTTTACCCTACTGTTATGCTTGTCAATAATTATGATGAGTGGTATTCATTTTCTTACTAAAATTGCTTAGAGAAAATCACGATTATACTCCTATCTCTGTCTCTCAAGATGATGGAGGACGTGTCGGGTTGAGATTTCTCTTTCCTCTTTCACCTGCATTTCAGGATATCAATGCTTACAATGGTGATGAGCCCACAGAAAAGTTACCTTTTCCCATCATTGATGACAGTAAACGGGAACTTGCCATCCTGTTGGGCATGCTGGACCCTGCGGAGAAGGACGAGAAGGGCATGCCTGTGACAGCTCGTGTAGTAAGTCCTAGAATGCACTTTGTAGTGAGCATGATTGATCAGGCTCAGTGTCAAAACACTTGGACCCACTAGGGAAATACGGGAATATCTACAATTGTGAAATAACTATGTAGTGGTGACAATATCACTATCTGTAATGCTAATACAAAGTGGCTGAAATTTCCAACTAAATTTTTAAACTGCTTAATTCATAGCTCTTGGAAATCTGTAAAATTAATAAGTAGTTTATACTAAGATGTCATCTAAAATCAAAAAACCTTTTCTATAAACTATCTCCTAAAAGGCTTCTCTTTAAAGTGTACAACTAACTATTCAAGGACCATTATCAGCTTCTATTAGTATTATTGTTATGCTAATAATCCCCCCCCCATATAGAACCTTTCTGGGGCCTTTCTTGGATTAAATTTGCATATCACTTTTACTAACGGGACAGCCAAAATCAAATATGATTCCCTTCTAACTTTAGAAAAAGAACATGGAGAAGAAAATTATCTATATTCTAGCTGCCCCAGTTTGGTGTATACTTTAAGATGCTTTGTTTTGTTTTGACAATCTTGAACATTGCTAATGACTGCAGAGCTTTCCAAGCATCTTTAATACCAAAAACACTCAAAGAACGCTTCCTGTGTATGCCTGTTTGTGCTTTGCAGGTGTTTATTTTTGGTCCTGATAAGACACTGAAGCTGTCTATCCTCTATCCAGCTACCACCGGCAGGAACTTTGATGAGATTCTCAGAGTAGTTACCTCTCTCCAGCTGACAGCAGAGAAGCTGGTTGCCACACCAGCTGATTGGAAGGTAAAGATGCTAAAAAGGCAGATATTCCATTTACCTGGAAGGCCTGAAGGGACAGTCTCTAAATACCTGCCTTTGAAGTCTGTATTATGCTCTGTTTTTGACACCCAAGTACACTGGGAGGGTTTTTCATTGTGGCTGAGTTTAAGATTTGTTGGGAGGCCCTTTTCAAGATCTTTAACACTTTTGTATAAATCATAAACTCTCCATGTTGTTTTCTAACTTTTAGATAATTTGGACAAATTAATTGGTTAGAATAATTCCTTTCCTAATGTAAAATTTTAAAAAAAAATTTAATCCTTTCCTAATGGCAAGATATTTACCATAAAGCCTCAATTGGCCATTTTTCTTAAATCATGACTATAAAACTATTAGTGTATTGGCTCAGTGCCTGTAGCTCAGTGAGTAGGGCGCCAGCCACATACACTGAGGCTGGTGGGTTCGAACCCAGCCCGGGCCCACTCAACAACAATGACAACTGCAACCAAAAAAATAGCCCAGAGTTGTGGCAGGCACCTGTAGTCAGATACTTGGGAGGCTGAAGCAAGAGAATCTCTTAAGCCCAAGAGTTT